GGACTGGACTAATAGTTACCTGGTTGGGGAGGTGGTGGGGCACCATGGTGTGGGACTGGACTAATAGTTACCTGGTTGGGGAGGTGGTGGGGCACCATGGTGTGGGACTGGACTAATAGTTACCTGGTTGGGGAGGTGGTGGGGCACCATGGTGTGGGACTGGACTAATAGTTACCTGGTTGGGGAGGTGGTGGGGCACCATGGTGTGGGACTGGACTAATAGTTACCTGGTTGGGGAGGTGGTGGGGCACCATGGTGTGGGACTGGACTAATAGTTACCTGGTTGGGGAGGTGGTGGGGCACCATGGTGTGGGACTGGACTAATAGTTACCTGGTTGGGGAGGTGGTGGGGCACCATGGTGTGGGACTGGACTAATAGTTACCTGGTTGGGGAGGTGGTGGGGCACCATGGTGTGGGACTGGACTAATAGTTACCTGGTTGGGGAGGTGGTGGGGCACCATGGTGTGGGACTGGACTAATAGTTACCTGGTTGGGGAGGTGGTGGGGCACCATGGTGTGGGACTGGACTAATAGTTACCTGGTTGGGGAGGTGGTGGGGCACCATGGTGTGGGACTGGACTAATAGTTACCTGGTTGGGGAGGTGGTGGGGCACCATGGTGTGGGACTGGACTAATAGTTACCTGGTTGGGGAGGTGGTGGGGCACCATGGTGTGGGACTGGACTAATAGTTACCTGGTTGGGGAGGTGGTGGGGCACCATGGTGTGGGACTGGACTAATAGTTACCTGGTTGGGGAGGTGGTGGGGCACCATGGTGTGGGACTGGACTAATAGTTACCTGGTTGGGGAGGTGGTGGGGCACCATGGTGTGGGACTGGACTAATAGTTACCTGGTTGGGGAGGTGGTGGGGCACCATGGTGTGGGACTGGACTAATAGTTACCTGGTTGGGGAGGTGGTGGGGCACCATGGTGTGGGACTGGACTAATAGTTACCTGGTTGGGGAGGAGGTGGGGCACCATGGTGTGGGACTGGACTAATAGTTACCTGGTTGGGGATGTGGTGGCTGGACTAATAGTTACCTGGTTGGGGAGGAGGTGGAGCACCAGTTGCAATTCTCAGTTGTGTTTGCAGTGAGAAGTCAATGTTGTAAAATGCTGATCCACTTCCTAATTCTTCTGGTACTGGTTTTGGTGGCATTTCAAGTTCAGGGTTATTTCTTACATCTAGTTCCTGTTGGTAGAAAGAAATGAGGAATAAAATAAAATTATAAACTATTGGTACTTGATGGCACAGGACTGAACTACTCTTTGCAATTCTTTCTACAGTCTGCATGCAGACATTCTAGCTAGGGTCTACATGCAGGTAGCCAGGTAGGAGTGCCTSCAAGCAGTCRTTGTCATGGTAATGCAGTAATAATAGTTAGTTAGTAATYGAGCTAGTGCTTTAGTGTCATTGCTGCCTTGGTTATCACCTGTTTGGGTATTTCTATTGCATCTTTTTATAAAAACYTTCTGGTTAGTTTTAAACACAACAAACTCCTAAAACTTTTAATAAGGAGTCCTTGTGTATGTTGCTTGTTGGTAGAGTGCATAAGTGTCAAATATTCCCTCAAAGCATGAGCAAGCTWGTGCTGCTGCAGTCTAAATCATTCTGTTATGCTTTTGTTTTTTTATTGAAGATGTTTATTTTTTTTTTGAATGTACATTTTATTTTAGTTTTTATTTCTTGATTCAGTGAGATTACAACATTTTAATAGAATGTTATTTTGTTGTTAGCACTTACCTCCATGTTGGTGAGAAAATGGATTCCTTCAGGCAAAGTGAACAGTCTGTTGTTATGAAGAATAAGTCTCTTGAGTTTGATACATCTGTTGGGAAAATCCAACTCACAATAAATGATCACAATTAAATCAACTACTAACAAAACACTGAATCAAATACCTGCAGAGACCTTCTGGAATACATTCCAACTGGTTATATGCAGCCATGAAAAACTCCTGTGAATTGGATTTAGAATTAAGGGATAGATTGGACCACACTTTGAAATGCCAGTTGCTGTTTTTCATGGTATACAATTAATTACCTACCAAATTGTACAGTTTTCCAATGCCTGTTGGTAAGCCTTCAAAGTTGAT